AGAAGTGGAAAACAAGTGTCGCAAATTGAGTATCAGAAATAAACCCTATGATTCTGATTTCTGAACAATATTGGAAACATGTCCGAACGAAAAGTAACCCAGCAGAGGCTTTTTTCAAGAGGACTTGCAATGTCTAATTTAAGACACTAGCCAATAGAGTTGCACGCGCGTGATTCCAAATGGTTGGTATTAAAGGGCATACGCTTTGCTCTTTTGAGTCGGTTTCCATTGTCACCATAAAATCTAGGCCGGACTGAATTTCGAGCAGCAATTTTCTATTACATAATTCTTGTATCTTATCACGGCGATCAGAAACGACTAGAAAGAATCAGAAACAGAACACTAGAACAGGAAAGAATAATGTCCTGGGAAAAGGCAAGAATTGTTATGCATATTTTTTAATGAAGAGCTGACATTTTTGTTCGGGCTTGAGGATATGCCAATCGAATTATTATCTCGATGTCACTACTAAATTCCTATCGCATCTCTGATTGGATTTGGACTCTGCATCTCAGCTGCCTCTGACTAGATCAGTGGTTCCCAAACTTGTTTCACCTACCGCCTACTTTTAGAAAATGGGAATTATCGAGAGCCCCCCTTAGCAGGGATCCAAGAATTACTTGCACATTACTTAAGATTATGCTTTGTCAATGAAATTTATTTTCGGATAAATAGTATATTACATACCGAGTAGGGAAGCGAGATTTATATAGTCTATTAATCTCGAGACAGAAATGAAAACTTTCCTCCGAGGTTTGTATACTATTTTATTTGCAAGCACACAATTAATTATGATTAGTCAATCAATTTTTTTAATATTAAAAAAATAAAACAAACATACCAAAATGTGTCATTCACTGCTTTGACGTTTTTACCTGACATGTTCTCATTGTTGCCAGCAAAGGTAAATAAATTAGAGTGAGGGAAATCGGTGAGGGAAGTCGAATAGGGAAACCGGTGAGGGGAATCGAAGAGGGAAGTGACACAGGTAAAGTGTCACTTCCAAATTTTTAAAAAGTCAGTAATGACAAGATTACATATATGATTGCAAATAAAAAAATAAAACAAACATGCAAAATATGTCATTTACTGTTTTGACGTTTTTACCTGACAGCTTTTCATTGTTCTCAGCAAAGGTAAATAAATTAGAGTGAAGGAAATCAGTGAGGGAAATCGAATAGGGAAATCGGTGAGGGAAATCGAAGAAGGAAGTGACACAGGTAAAGTGACACTTCCAAATTTTTAAAAAGTCAGTAATGTCACGATACATATATGATTGCAAATAATAGTATATTACATACCGAGTAGGGAAGTGTTTCATTACTGTCGAGAGATTTATATAGTCAATCGAGACGCGAAGCGTCGAGATTTACTATTAATCTCGAGACAGAAATGAAAACTTTTCTCCGAGGTTTGTATACTATTTTATTTGCAAGCACACCATTAATTATAAATAGTCATTTAATTTTTTTAATATTAAAAAAATAAAACAAACATGCCAAAATGTGTCATTGTGTTTTGACGTTTTTACCTGACATGTTTTCATTGTTGCCAGCAAAGGTAAATAAATTAGAGTGAGGGAAATCGGTGAGGGAAGTCGAATAGGGAAATCGAAGAGGGAAGTGACACAGGTAAAGTGACACTTCCAAATTTTTAAAAAGTCAGTAATGTCAAGATTACATACATGGTTGCAAATAAAGTATATTTTGATTGATTGATTGATTATTGATATTGAAGCGGCGGCGCTTTTTTTTTGAAAATTTTCACGGTCGTGCGTTTTCTTGGCAAGGGGCTGAGCGTCAAGTAATCTCCTCAGTAGAATTTTGTCAGAAAATGACCTTATATAGAAATTTTGAGAAAAACCTGATACAACACATGTCCAGCACACTTCAGATTGCATCCATTTTGGTTTGATTTCCAAAATTTTTTGGGGGGGCTCAGCGCCAAGTTAGCGCTTCCAGTAGGATTTTGTCAGGAAATGACCGAATATGGGAACTTTAAGAAACCTGATACAGCTCACTTCAGATTGCATAAGGGTCCATTTTTGTTTAATCTTATTTCCAAAATTTTGGGGGCTGAGCGTTAAGTTAGCCCCCCCCCAATAGGATTTTGCCTGAAAATTACCGAATATGGAAATTTCGAGAAAAACCTAATACAGAACTGTCCAGTACACTTCAGTTTGCATAAGAATCCATTTTTGTTTCATCTGATTTCCAAAATTTTGGGGGGCTGAGCGTCAAGTTAGCACCCCCAGAATTTTGTCGGAAAATGACCCAATATGAAAATTTTCAGAAAAACCTGATACAGCACAGTTCAGCACACTTCCGATTGCATAAGAATTCATTTTTGTTTGATTGGATTTCCAAAATTTTGGGGGGGCTGAGCGTCAAGTTAGCCCCTCATCTTGTTTTCCCTATAACTTGGGTATCAGAACAGCACAGTTCAAAGCGGTTGCAATTTTGTTAGAAAAGTTGAATGGGGGGGCTTACTTGACGGAGCTAATTTTTGAGCTTTTTGAAGTTATTTATAAGTAAAATACAATAACTTTAATGCAGCTGCTGCTGATCAATGCGTGTATTAGCGGTATCGCATTTTAAGCAAGTCATATCAGACTTAGTTGAGGTGCGTGCGGGTTGTGTTCATAACTTGAAGCTTGCGAAAATTGACTCTGAAAGAGATAGACATAGACTAACTATGAGCATCATCTTTATAGTATTGGAGAGTAATTTCCGTAAAAAGCCATTTACTATTTAATTTTTTTTTTCTGATCTGTTCGTTTATTTTTCAATGCCCACTAATTTGTGCTTACCGCCCCCCAAAATCAGCTGAGCCCTTTACCGCCCCCCGAGATGGTTGTAGCGCCTACTGGGGGGCGTTATCGCCTACTTTGGGAACCACTGATTTAGATGCTGGTTTCTTACATCAGCTCTATGGTCTTGCCAGATATGTCGTGAACTCATAAAATGAACTAACTCAAAACTGGAGACTGGATGATTGCCTACACGAAGGTTGTCAACTGCTTTAAAAACCACATTGCGCTATTTTTCGCGATTATTGTTCAATTCGGTCGCTATTGTGACACCAACATCTAGCAATTAATTGTTTTGTCGCGTCCACACATCGTGTAGCAGAACGGCCACGACGCCGTCATGCAACAAGGTTTTCCATATAACCACTTCTATGGAAAACGTCAGGATACGCGTTGAAACAATGGAGGATAGTCGTTTCAGATTTCTGACTTCGTTTAATATGGACATGTTAGTTCGGCGAGCTGTATAAGGAACTTTTAAGCATTCTCCTCTAACTTCACATTTCAAATGCTTCTACGCTGTGGCGATCTACCTTTCTAACAGTCCAAGTGAGAGCCATACAAAAATGTTGAATAGACAAGAGACCAGACACACGACATTTTGGTGGCTTTCGTGATATGAATGTCACGCCATATTTAAGTTAGTCTTGACATGGCTTTCCGTGCTTGATTTCAACCTTGCAGCCACCTGAATTGTGGATCAAAAAACCGAGGTATACAAAACTCTGGACTACTTGATAACGGTCTACTGATGTTATTTCGGGATGATTGTCATGTGTCCTATCAATAATCATGACCTTGGTCTTATTGTAGTTGATACTGAGACCACATGTTGCACTATGTTGTTCCAAGATGTTCAGTAAGGTTAACAATGCACCCTGAGAGGAAGCAATAAGAGTACCTAGTATCGTTAGCAAACCTTAAATTAGATAATATTATAGAATTATACCACCGTTCTAACCGTCCAGTACTTGTCTCATCACAAATTCGGAATAGATGGAACATCGGCGATAAGACACATCTCTGACGAATTTCGAGCTGTGTTGGATTCATAGAGCAGTTGTATGAGAAATATCAGGTGATGAGGAACTCCCACGGATAGAAGAATTTCCCATAGTTCAAGCCACTTTACGTTGTCAAATGCTTTAGAGTAGTCCACAAAGCAGATATAGACTGGAAAGTGATGCTCTCTGCCTCAAAGTAAAGATCTTTTCGCGCGTACCACGTCCCTTTACGAAACCTATTGTAGGCTATAGTGGCGTAACTACTGTGTTTTGCCGCGGGAATATTCTCGAGAGTTTCTGGAGCCATTCTCCTAATGTTCTCCCCAAGACTGTTGCAGTTCATCTCATCCATTGGCAATAACAGCAGCCTCAAACTTTCGTTGACACTTGGACAACGATGTTTCGCAGTCAAAAGTTATTGGTTTGAGTGGCCGCGCACGATAGGACTCACCGATATATCTATTTTGCTTTCGCTTTTCTCGTAAATTCTCATTTTTTTCGAGGCCCTCTCCATATTGCTCACATGTTTTAGTATCTCCTTGTGGAGGGCTTTTCAAATTTGCTCACTTTTTATAGAGCTGCTACCATACCATCCGAAAAAATCCCTCAAGGTGCTGATTTATTATTGAAAAGTTAAAGCTACTTATACCTAAACAATGTGACGTAATAATATTGATAGATAGATAGCACATAGAGTAATAGGATGACTCTACCTGAATTTTCTGCTGATTCATCAGTTCACCAACTTGATAGATGCTTTAATTTATAACATCTGGTGTGATAACGTTGATAAATTGAAAAAAAGACTTCTTTATTCCAATCTATCGATCGATCAAAAAACACAATGTCTTCAAATTCTAGCTAAATCATGGGAGAAAAAAGTGAAATAGGTACCTATAGTAGAAAAAATAAAGTACAAAAAAGTTAAACATTCTACCGAGCATTCTACTTAGTTGAAAATGAAAAAAAAGTTAAGGAAAATTAGAGGATTAAAAATTTTGGTCTTGGGCGGGATTCGAACTTGCGTCTTCAGCATTGCCGGTCCAATTTTCCTCAAATTTCTCTTCATTTTCAATTTCCACGCTTTTCGGTCGTTGTAACCGACAAAACTTCATTCCTTTCATTCTACTTAGATTGGGGAAAGTTCTTACCAGACTTTCCATTGATATCCTTAGCTTTTAGGTTACGTGCTTTGAGCAATGTTAGGGTAAGAACGCTGTTGCTGGGATGATAACACAACGACGTAAGCAGTTCTCCGCATTTGTCCTTTGCTGGTGGTTTCAAGGCTTTCCAGAATGAGGGTTTTTCACTGAGATCAACCTGAAACAAACATGTAGTTTTATAAATGTCAATGTTGTCAAATGTCCAAAGCTTCACACAGCGAATTTCTTATTTTGTAGTTTTGTGAGTAATCTAGATCTTTCCACAATAACAACACTAATTATAAAGTTCGTTTCAGTTCTGAGACAATAGTTTTCTCAAAAATATATGTAACAAAGCTAAGTCACCTTGAATATCTTTATGAAAATGTAACGTTTTTTTTTTGCGACTAGCACCCTCAAACCGATAACAAAAAATCCCAGGGACGATTTTATGATACCTACATTCTAAACTTTTCCAGACCCTCTACAACAAACTCTCCGCAAAAAAAAAAACATATTTATATATTTTATGAGCCTTTGCGTACAGGAATATATAAAAATAAGCGATAACGAAGGTCTTCATATCCTGATCTTGGATATTTAATAGAGGGATGAAATTGTATCTTGAAGCCTAAAAAAAATGGAACCTTGTAATTGAGTTCGAAGCCAAAGCTTTTTTTGCGTTTTAAAAATAAGACTTTGTCATGCTTATAATAAATATAATAAACCTAGGAATTAGGTTTATCTATTTTGTTACTCAACATCAAGGTTTCGCATTTATTGAAATGTTTCATCAGGACTAAATTGATAAGGCAACCAAAGTTTAGAGATTGTGTGTGAAAGTACCTATGGATCTCAATGACATATTTTTCATGCAAAATCAGAACTGTAGTGACTATGCAAAACTTAACCGAAAAGCAAAACCAATGAAAAGTAATTTGTTCCCAATATTATTATAGAATATTGTTTTAGTGTACGTGTTTGTGTCATTTTCTAAATAGATTCCAAACTTTGCCCCTGAAATAGTTCCGAAAAGATCTTTAACTTGCGGCAGTTCTAATCGTAAATCAATTTAAGCTCCGCAAAATGCAGACGACCATAAACATTAATTATCAAAGGCAATTTCGCAGCTCTTTAAACACACTTAAAAGGACAAGAACGGTTTTTAATTCATGCAAATTAAGAAATTGTAAAACTTCACGGGCAGAAGGCACGCATTCCTTTTTGGAACGGTTCCAACGTTTTAAAAAGTCAAGCTCATTGTCTGAGAGCTTCCTCTCAGCTAAAAAAAAGCATACTTTCACAAGTCCTCTGGATAAGTGTCGTTTTAATTTAAGGACTTCTTATACAAATATTGATAATTTTAAATAGAGAGAAAACACTTCTCAATCGGTCCTTGATTGGGCCGTTACCGAATTAAAATTTCAAATACTTTTGAGCAGTATTTGAAAACGTTCGTATTTTATTAGTATAGAGAGGAACTATTCAGGTACCTATCCTTATTTTTGTGATATATATATACCGATATCCAAAGTTTGGCAATCGCCAACTGCCCAGATTACACACGAAAAGCTTTCTATAGTTACATATACGAATTTCATAACCTTTAAAAGTAATTGTAACTTCCGCATTATTTCGCAGCATATCTTCGAAAATAGGTATATGTACAAGTTTTGATAAAACGCTAATTCAATAAACAAGGAGACAACGACCACAACGACAAAATAACAAAATATATCACTATACGGTAACACACAATCATTGAAATGTCAGCAGTCATTTCATTCACAGGCAAGTATTTCAAACAAATCAAATTCTCAGAAACAGCCTCTCGAATAAAATGATGACGAACATCAATGTGTTTCGATCTCTTATGCACTATTGGATTCACTGACAACTTTTGCGCACTCTGTTTATCATTGAAAATTTCAACACACAAGTTATCATCAATATCTGATATTCCACCCAATCTGCATCAACGAAGCCTCCTAAGTCGCAATCATCTTTTTCAAACTTTAATTCGTATTCTCTTATACCCTGCAAATATCTGAGTACACTAGTGGTGGGAAAATATCGAATTCAAAAACTATCCATAGTTTGATAGTAGTGGTTGATTAACTATCGACATATCGATAGTACTATCGGTTTAAAAATATAACCAATCAACGATATAACCTAGAACTGAAATGAAAATTGAAGATTTTGATAGTATTTGTACAAAAATAATTATATAACTACAACGCTTTAAGAAAGCAACCATTTATTTCGATTTTTCGATTAAAAAATAATTAACAACATATTTATATTTTTAGATTTAAGTTTGGATCTTTAAAATATTACCAGCCTTCGAGAATAACCTTTCCGAAATGGCGCGAAATGGTAGCGTCCCGCTACATCGGCCATCTGCCACTCCGTCACTTCTATCAGAATTCAGCATCAGCTGTCGACCTGTCACCACTCCTAGTCAGTAAGCGCTTTTTTTTATTCACCGATGACTCCATTGATGACCTCTATCTTTGTCTAGTTCACAGAAAATCGGAATGGCTGTCTCATAATGCTTTCAGCAGATGGAACCATCGATGAATAAAAGAATTTGCCCAGTGTTACCAATTTAATAATACAAAATTCGATAGTATTCGATAGTCAAGGGAAAATTATCGATAGTTCGATATTTTTAATTCCGCAACGAGTTATCGATATATCGATAGTTTCATTCGATAGTTTCCCACCTCTAGAGTACACGTTCTGCACATTTCCACTGCACATTTGTATAAGTGTTATATTGGCTCAAAAGGCTTACTGCAAAAGATATATCTGGTCGCGTTTAAACTGCCAGATACATAAGACCAGTGTTGCCAGAGTTTTTCGACGACATTCCTTCAAGTGATTGGCTAAAACCCTTCATATCCTTCAAAACAGTAAAACAGTGGCGATTGGCCGGCACAACGAAATAATTTACCAGAAAAAAACACTAACATGCAAGGATAATACATACTACTAAAGATTACTTATCGGCCTCGTTTCTGGTAATCGCCGCCATATTGGTTTGTCACCATCCGACAATCCGACGTCATAACTAAGTCGTCAGTTGTTTCTAGTGATGTGACATCGGTGCTCAGACATCGATGTTGAACATCGGTTCTGATATCGCTCGATACTATCGATGTCAATAAAATATCGATTGAAAAATATCGATGGTTTTAAACATCGATGTTCGATGTTGAGATTATGTTTTTTTGGTGTTCTTGTAAAAATACTGATTGAAAACATATTTAGATACATTTATAAACAAAAAGATACAAAAATAAACATTATTTTGGAAAAAAGCAAAAACACGAATAAATTAATTACAGAATGAATAGGAATCAAATAATATAAACAGCAAAACTACTCCCAATTCTCGAGTTCCCAAAAAATACGACCTAAAACAAACTGAAAAATAAAAAGGTTGATAATCTTTTCCTTTTCCTTTCAACCTATTTCTTGTCTGAGCCTAGGTTTGCCGTACTTTTCGCATTATGAAATATCGATGGTTCGAACATCGATATGTCGATGTTCTGTAACTTCTGGCATCGATGCTAAAACATCGATTATCAAAGGCAATAACATCGATGTTTACGAGACATCGATGTTCAAGTCCCATCACTAGTTGTTTCACTAGTGGTCGTAGTTTAGAATTTGAATTTATGATGGAAAATATTTTATTTTGATTAACATAAAGCAAAAGCCCGCGGAATCATAACCTGTAGTGCTCGCCTACGTCAAGGTAAGAAAGGACATGCTACTACGTAACAACCGGTGATTTGGCGTGGTGGGAGGCTTTAGATTTGTTCCACACAGGCCTCATGAGGATAGGCTATGCTTGCTTGCTGTTTCACCCTTTCGAGCCCATACTCTACACTGCAGCCTTTAATTATAGGCTTATTGTATCTCATTTGTATGGGCTCTGGGCTCTACTCCTTCTCATTCATACTTGGAGATCGGATGATTGGCTGCGGTCACCCATCCAATCTTCATCCCGACACCACGTTGCTTGGCTTGAGTAGGCCGTATTACGTCCTTTATCGAAAATCAACGTGCCAGTTGGCTATGCTAGTAGTGTGTGTTATCCTTGACTTACATTAACGAAATTCTTATTGAATTTTGAACCTAAAGCCTGGCCTACAGCACACTGACTGACGCAGTGGCGTAGCGAAAATTGGCGTTTCGTATTTTTTCTCATGCAACTAATTAATTCGTTTTAATAAAAATTAAATTTGTTGGTGAAATGATTGGAATATTTGCTAAATATAGAATTTGCCTCAAAATCCTTCAAATTCGGATAAAAACCTTCAATCCTTCAGTAGTCAAAATTTAAGACCAAAACTCTTCATATTGAAGGAAATCCTTCAATTCTGGCAACACTGCATAAGACTACCGATTAATTTCTGATAAGGTACGTTCGAATCACAAAATTCAGCTTTTTCTATTTTTTCACAATTTACATTAGAATTCAGAGGAGTACCACAATCTAGCATACTAAATCTTTCAAAAATCTGAATGATATAATTCTCCTGATCTGATATAATAGAACCATTCTTATCATATCTTACTCTAACTCCTAGAATCTGTTTTGCCTGACCTAAATCTTTGATCTTGAATTCTGATCCTAATTTCTCTTTCAAAAAACAGTTTCTTTGTCACAATTACTAAAAATAAAGAAATCATCAATGTATAACGCCACAATGGTTAAATTATCCTTATTTTTATCAACATAGAAACATGGTTCATGCTCCTACTTTTTGTAACCCAGTTTTAACAAAACCTGATCTACTCTAACATTCCACCGCCTAGAGTTTAAGCCGTAAATTGCCTTTTCAAGTTGTGGACTTTTCATAAAAACCTCTTGATCTATAAATCACCATTTAGAAACGCTGTTGCCACATCTAGATGCGTTATTTTTTAGTCAAATTTAACAGAAATAGCAAATAATAGTCTGAAAATGGAATGTTCATTACCACTGGACTGGAGGTTGCGTCAAAGTCAACACCTGGTACCTGAGTGAAGTTTCTAGCCACAAGTCTAGCTCGATATCGCACTGAACCATCACTTTCACTTTTTCGCTTGAACACGCGCTTATAGTCTACCACTGTACCACTCTCTGGCATATCCACAACGTCCCATGCTTTATTTTCACCAAACGACATAAGCTCCTCTGCCATAGCTTTTCTCCACTTTTCACTATCTGGCCTAGATAGTGCATCATTTACTGTCACTGGATCTTCTTCCAATCTTAAATTCTTCGAAGTATTCGTAGTACTGGCTGACAAAATTTACGTAGTCATCAAAATTTTTAAGCTTATATTCTCTTCCAGACCTTCTCACATTCTCAGCTTCTGATTCTTTGATTTCACATATGAATAAGTCACTATCTGAGATGTCATCATCCATCTTCTCATCGACTTCTTCCTCACGTGTGCTTTCAAAATCATTTCCCGTTCCTTCTGAGGACGTTTCAGAATGTTCTTCCCCCACTTCAGGTGGTATTACTGGATTTATTGTTATCTGAACATTTTCTTCCATGACTACGACGTCTCTACTAATTTTGATTTCATGCGTAACAGGATTATACACCCTGTAACCCTTTTTCTCTTCACTGTAACCTACCAGTAGATATCATTTCTTCGGACTTCTTTTCCCATTTGCTACACTTTGCTATTGGTGTGTGTATCATAACCTTGCTGCAAAATATTCGTAGAAGTTTGACATTTGGTTTTCTATGGTGCCACATTTCATAAGGAGTCATTTCATCCAAACCAGCTGCTAACGACCTGTTCCTCAAATATACTGCCGTACTTATAGCCTCTGCCCAGGATTTATTTTCGAGACTGGCATCATATAACAGACATCTTGCTTTCTCGACCAGTGTCCTATTCATACGTTCAGGCATTCCGTTCTGTTCTGGAGTATAGCTATTTGTTTTCTGATGTATAATCCCATTTTTCTTGAAAACTGTCTTAAATTCCTTCGAACAGTATTCACCACCGTTGTCGCTTTTGTAATGCTTTATCATTTTATTTGTCTGATTTTCAACCATTCCAAGAACTTCTCCAATACTTGATCTTTGGTTTTCAGAAAATACACAAATGCCAGGCGCGTTGCATCATCTTCAAACAGTGCAAAGTATTTCGATCCACCTATGGAAACTTCTTTCATTGGACCGCACAAGTCTGCGTGTATCATTTCTAGCTTTTCCTGAGCTCTATCTCCTTTTTTAGGAAATGGCAACTTGTGATGTTTGCCTTCAAAACAAATTTTGCAGTTTTGCTTGCAAAGTTTCACCTTGCCAGTGAAATCTAGCCTATCAACAGAATTTTTTATTTTATTCAAATCTGTCGAGTTTATGTGTCCAAATCTCCTGTGCCAGGTTTCACCAGTTGCCAGAAAACAACATAGAGTCTTGTCTATTTTTAATTTGATATAGACTTTTTGTACTAACTTAGCTGTCGCTACTAGTTCCTTATGTTTATTGTAAATTTGGCAACCCTGTGTGTCAAATTTTACCGTGTTTCCATTGTTTATCAGTTGACTTACTGACAAAAGATTTGTTGTCAACTGTGGTACACAAACCACATTTTTAACACATATTTCGTAGTTTCCATTTTTACACACTGTTGTCAGCTTCACGTCACCTGTGCACGTAACTGGTACTTTAGTTTGATTGGCTACAATAATCTCATTCAGATCACACTAGGTAGATGGTAGATACATTTTCAAGCCATTCTTGATTCACACAAAGATGAGCACTTGCTTCTGAGTCTACATACCATTCTGTGTTCTGAAATTGGCCATTCAAGAAAACTGCGCAAAAGCATGCGATTTTTAACTATCTTTCTCACTTTCAGCTTTTTCTACTTGTTTTTCACCTGTCATCTTGGGACATTTTGACCCTATGTGGCGATATTCTTGGCAAAGCACTGAGGACCTCTATATTTCTTCTTTTCATTTTTATTTCTTTCCCCTCCACCAGCAAAAGCCACTCTAGATGTGTGAGGCTCCATCTCCATATTCATCTAAAAGCGTCGTCTTAATGGTATCAGCAGTTATTTGTAGCCCGCTAGGCTCAATAGCCATTATCATTGGAGAGTATTTCTCAGGTAGACTAGCTAGCAATAAAGAACCTACCCAGACATCATCTATAGCAAACCCTGTTACTGTCAATCTCTGTGCAGTTTCTACAACTTTATTGACATAGTCTCCCATAGATGACAATTTTCCATCCTTGTAGAGATCAGTGTCCTTAATAAATTGATTTTTCTTGTTCGCCCTTGATCTGCAAACATGCCTTTCAAATAATTCCAAACTTTTTTCGGTTTATTATCATCTCTAATAATATATGAAAACACTGCCGAATCGATCGTGAGCACTATTCGCGCCTTTGCCTTCGGACATTTATCCGCGTCACTTTCTGAACCATCAACAGAGCCCCAAAAGACATCCAAAATCAGGATATTTTCGATCGCAAAAACCCATTCTTCGAAATTTTCTCGGCCTTTTAGCTTCGGTACACTAGCCTGAAAGTTAACGCGAAAAATAGGTACTCAAAAACTTCGAATTGCTGCAGGCACATAACCTGATAAAATGCACTACGCAGTGCAGCCACTTTTAGAGACAACGACGAAACAACAATAGCTATTTACCTATATATATTTTTCCGCACTTGTTAGGTACAATATTTTTCCTACAGGTGTAAAAATGTAAAATTTTTCTTTTTTTTTTGACATATCAGTGCGGTAAAAAATTTTCCGCACGGCTGTAGGAAATAGTTATTTTCCTAACAAGTGCGCAAAGTGTTACTTTTCCGCACGCAAACACAGTTATACGAACGACGCGAAGCGGAGTTCGGATAAGTGTTACGTGCGGAAAAGACACTTTGCGCACGTGTTAGGAACTAAATTTTTCCTACGAGCTTCATATCAGGTAGGTAACAACCAAAATTTAGAAAAAAAAAACAATAATTTGTTCAATTATTTTTAATTAACTTGAAGCGAACCTATGCAGTTATCAAAAAATTACATAAGAAGAAAAAAAAAATAACAGAAAATCATCGTCAGAGCCCTTTATCTTAAAACGTTCAAATTTGATGAGAAAGTTTGTAAATTCTTGCATATCAATAGAGAACAAATCTGACAATGCGTCAAAGTTAATTAAATTTGGTGTTTGTATAGATGTTGGCTGATATAGAAACAGAGGAAAAATTTGTCATCATGTGTCAACGTCGACAGGTGCACTTATTGTTGCTTGACAATTATTTTTACTTTTCGGCACTCAGTGCGGATAAGGCCTGTATCCGCACTGAGTGCGGAAAAGTGCAACTTTGAGAACCGAAATGCGTGCGGAAAAGTACTACTTTGCGCACGCTCGTAGGAAAAATATATTACGGTAACACACAATCATGACATACTTGATGACATGTATAACATTCCTAGATACATATTTCACGCATAAATGTCGCGACGTGTCATAATACAAAATAAAAACATATTTTCTAAGAACTTTTAACAAGTATTACTTACTTGGCATAGCGGTAAGAAAACTTCTCCAATAGAATCGTCCCTGGAAAACCGATCGTAGTCGAACACATGCAGATGTAAAACCCTGGATTGTAACTTCTGGATGGGAAATCCCTCAAAATAGAACGTCTCGTTCCATCTGGGATTTAGGGTCCTACGTTTAATCTTCGTCTCTAATCGGTGCTTTTTATCGGGCAACAAGGTCACCCTGACGTAGGGGTCGCTCGTGCCCGACAGATCTTTGGCCGGTAGGTCTTTACCCTGAAACAGAAAAGAATAGGTACCTATGTCTTGAAATTCATTTAAAAAAAAAGATTCGGTAATCGAATTAGAGATTAATCTCCGGGTCCAAATCCTCTGGAGAATATTTTAAGAGTTAATGATCCTTTTGGAGAATTCTAGATTAATCTTAGAGAAATTTGAAGTTGTAATATTAGGATATTTCATTAAAATAATTTCTAAATAGATTCCAAAAATTGTTAAGCTTTAAATCAAGTTATGTCAAGTGTATGCCCTAACTGGAACAGCTCGAAGTTGGGCTGCAGTTTATTCCCCGTTCATCAGACTTTTGCTAATAAATTAAACTAGTAAGTATATTACCCATGGAAAAATACATTATTACAGAATACAAAGTGAACAACTCCAGAAGCAAAGCAAAATATGGCAAAGCATTGAAAGGAAAAAGAATATAATATAGAATATATTACCAGTACTTGAAAAATAATCAAGAAGTCCCTAATATATTTTTTAACCCTCCATTAGGCGCGCGTGTTTTCATGACACCATTAGTCGCGCTGTATCACAGAGATACATGTACTAAATCATTGATAAAAAAATTGAACCATCTGATGAATTTCGGTTTTACAATTTCTATGTATTTATTCGTGTACTCAACAATGACTTTTTACTGAAAAAGAGATTCCAGAAGCTGGATTCTGTTTTCGCAGTCGTTGCAGTTTGGCCAACAACGCCCGGCAGCTTTACCATATTATGTGGTCTCTTCCGAGTCAGCTTGGGAGGAATTTTGTCTCATCGAGTTCCATCTTCACCTAAGATGAACAGCCTCTTGTACCATAATATTTATATGAAAAAAATACCAAGAAAACAGTAACAATTGTGGAGCACCGCTGGTAATAAGAATAGTCGCGTTGTATCAGTCAGACACAAAGCCGAGCGCACCCCTAGTTTTTTGGAAATTCCAAATTTCCAAATAGAGGTACGACCATATAATTTTGAGAAAGCGATTAGTATAGGGTACCTAAGGACTGCTACAAGCCAAAATATTATAGGGTTTTTCCTTTTTGATTTATTTGCGAAAATAATAGGCATGTATCTCTCAGATACACGGGCGCCTAATGGAAGATTAAGTAGTGAAAGATGATTCGCTCTGCATCATAGGATTTACCAGTTAGGTAGAGAGAGACAGTACTATGAGCTCTATCTGAATGCGAGAGAAAATGGAACAGGTCATCCGTCGTCGGCGCCATCTCTTTCGTTCATCAATGGATGATAAACCAGGCAAATGACTATTATCGTAAAAAGGATGGACGATTGACGGCGCAGATGAAAGATGAAATGACGGTTTCTCTCTTGCATACGCCGGAGGCTCGTATAGGTCTGTGTGTCTCACACTCTCGGGGGAACCTATTCTGAAAAATTTGTAAATTGTCTTTATTTTTTTCTTTTTCGCTATATAATCCGAACGACTACACAACTGAGACTATATCTGGGACAACCCCTTATGAATGATGGGTGATGATTTTAAGAGGGTGGCTACTGACTTACACTGGAAAAGTCTGGCGCAAAGCAGATAACACTGGCGAGAATTGGGAGAGGCCTATTTCCAACAATGGACGAATAGTGACTAAAAGAAGAAGAGTGGTGTTATACATCCCATCATCATTAATAATCAATGAACCACAAATGCCTTATGACGCTGTAAGATTCCAGACATTATCAAGCTTATTACCAAACTGATTTCTCTTCTTAGGGCGGGTATTATAAAACTGCTTTGACAGTTAACTTAAAGTTAACTTTTTGAATTACATGTAATTCCAGAAGTTAACTTTCAGTTAACTCTCAAAGTAGTTTTATAATACCCGCCCTTAATCTGCGTCTTTTATAGTTCATTTAAGCTGACAAGTATAAAGTCGTAAACCTTAATCATTGAAAATTTAAATTCGCCTATCTGACTAGAAAAAATAGTTTCCTTTCTTCATTATACGAAGCGGATAATCACAAAAGACCTTACCTGGGCAACCTGTCTCTCAGAAGGACTTTCTAATCCTATTAAAAACGAGGGATAATAATTCTAGACTGCAGGATGGTTCTTTTGAGAGGGACATATTCTGGCTACTGAGGAGATATTTAATTCAACTAAATCTTGGTTATTAATTTGGAGAGACAGAGAGAAATCTAGAAATTTATTGTCGGAATTTATCTATCCTCTGAAGGGTTATTATTTTGCATATGCACAAAATGTAGGTATTTCTGTCAAATTTTGTTTCCAGAAGTTTTATGCTTTGAAGCGCAATGGAGTGGAAATGTTTATTTATGATACAGACCATTTGAATAAGTGGAAAATATGCAGAGGTTTCAAAAGTAATCCAAACTTATGTATAATATAGTTGCGCAACCCATTTGAAAGTTTAAAAAATATTTATGCGAAATTTAATTTTTGAAATTAAAAAGCTACTTAAGTAACTGAATTTAAAAGCTCAAAAATAATAATTGTAATAGAAAACAAGATAGTGAAAGGAAATTATTTCATTTAAAACTCTGAAAATTGTTAATCTCATAATTATACCGGTATCTATTAGGTAGCTTTATTGGTAGATAGTTTTTTGACTGATATTGCGTTTTCAGGAATAAACCAAATCCTCGTGGAGTTTTTCTCGAGTAGAGTCCCACATATTTTTTCTCAATTTTTTTCATAGTACTCGATTGGCATATTTTCTTGTAAATTTTGTCGTGGATTTCGCGCTTCTATAACAATTTTGCTACTGCAGATGCACCTTCATCAGCGAGAGTACCCAAAGCACTAAGTGCAGCAAACAGAGGTATCAGTGGAATAATTCCACCAGTTATTTACATGCAAAGGAAATTATACGAGGTACGCTTATTTTTTTACGCCCCCTAGCTATTCGGATTGGAATTTCAGAATAAAATTATTGTTGGAACAATGCAATAACAGGAAATCTTCCTGATGTATCACTAACACCTGAGAAAGGTATGAAAAATTTATGAATGCTGATGTAGAAGCAACCAGAATAATTATCAAATTTGTATCAGATAATGTATTAGAAATGCTTGAAGATGAAATAGTTGAAGCAGAAGAACTGATGGAATGTTCAAGTGATACGTATCAATTCAAACAAAGGGATCCCATCAGTCATCACCAGTAACAAAAAAAAAATCAGCAAGGTTTAACCTTATGTAGCAACCCCTAAAGAAAGAGAAGCCAAAATAATTTTTAGAAATTGTGTCGACAGAAATTTCTAATCCCACAGATCCACTTACTTACGATCCTAAAAATTATTTCATCACTTTCATAGGCCAGTTAATAGTAATTTTTTTTGTTGTTATTTTTTCAAAAACAAATAGAAAATAAATAGTAGAAGCAAGATTAAATACTAAAATATGTTAATAAGGATGGGATAATGCAGGAGAGTACCTATGTATACTTCATATGCATGGAAGGAAACAGTTTCGTGACAAGAAACTAAATTGGGGTTCAATATACAGGTGGTTTATAATACAAACCAAAATGACGTTGCGGAAAGGTGCAATCGCAATATTTTGGAAGAAGAGTCTAGGTGCGTGATTTTAGATGCAAATTTAAGTAGAGAATTTTGAGAAGAAGCTGCAAGAACATCAATTTATCCAATTGACAGGACAAAAACTAGAGTTTTAAATAATGACTATGTTTATTTCACGCGTTCTATCTGGATACTAAGTGAATTCGATTAATAAACCTGAAACAAACACCCAGGATTAGAGAAATAATTCCGATCGGACTTGTTAATCCAATTTTCCAAATTTTTAAGATTTGACTTAAAATGGATTATCACAAATGTGAAATAAACACCTTATTATAGGATTTAAGAAGTTTGTTGCTAACATCAAGAAAAAATCACATTTGTTATTTGTAATTATTTTGAGAATTGATCTTATTTAGTTTTATTTGAATATTTTTTGATGAAAAACCGGTGTGAGATAAGAAAATGTTTATCTTTCAATTGTTAATTGAAACTATTTTTAATCATTGTTGCCTTTAATGAAGTTAGACAAAAACGGCACAAAGCAGTTTGCGCTTGCGCTTTTAACAAGGCTTATACGATTTAGTATCCGGATACAAAGCATGAAATAAACGTAGTCAATAATGATGTGTGGTAATTTATTTCCTGCACTATCAACAATTCATTTTATGTCGGATGTGCCACAAACCTATTCAAAAGCTATAACTTTACTATAGATCAAGGATGAAGTTGCAGAAGAGTTGAGAGTCTTAGAACATTGTGAAAAATTGAAATTAGAAAAGCCAGAAGATGAAAACCTTATAGATAGACAAGAATTGGGTGTTGGTGAAAAAAAATGCCAATGCCAATAATTATATTTTGTGTAGTAGGTACACACAACTAATTGCAATCTGGTAGTATTTTTCATAGAAGGAACCTAAAAGTTACTGTTTTGGCAACACCGACAAGATCGCATTGATGATGTCACGAATGCGTTGGTTCAAATAGCGCGACTTTTAACTTGAGAAATTTTAACTAGTATTAGGTATATTTTCACGCCCAAGGGTATGCTGACGACGCCGACGTGGTCATAGTCGTGCAGGGGAGAAATACCAGGCAGGTGTATAGGATAACTCATGCAGACAGCCTTCCGAAGTCTGCAGAGATGCTGTTAGTAGAGTGCACGGCCACCTAAAAGTCGTATGAAAACGAAACGATTCCCCATCCTCAAATTAGGCTAGATTCGTTGGTCGTCAAAAATTCCTCCTGCACAGGGTGGCTGTAAAGCTGCGGCCGCAGTGTGAGCGGTTTACCTGGAGGGTAGTGGGTAGAAAGGCGCCAAGCGACCCTCCAGGTAACCCACTAGTGTGTTTCCGAAACAGGTGATTAAACCGAATCAGTCGTACTGCGATCCCCCACCACCTTAACCAGCCTAGCGTCCCACCAAGCACACCACCTGGCAATCAGTCGTGTTTGATATTTTCAGCCAGGCGCAAGGTATAATCGGCATGGAAGAACAATTAA